TGAACGCTTCAAACTTTAGGTCATCGTGCCATACTGTTTGTAAACAAAGCTTCTCCTTCGCGCCTTTACATTCTTGCTTTCTCCTTTGAATGTCTGCGGCAAAGAAAGAAGAAGAAACCAAAGCGAACGTATTCAATTGACTTTCTTATGATTAAGTTGCCGTTCTTACCCTCTTTATGTCCCTCCTCGGGCTTGTTCCGGTGAAAAGGGAAACTCACGCTCGGCCCGTGGCACCTAGGTGGCGAGGGGCAATGCCGTCGCCCCGAGGGAGCTGCCTAGCAGGTCTGGCCAGACCGAGGCTACGACGACCGGGGGTCGGGGATGGCCGTGTGTAGGCCCTTCCGAGCCCCCAGGGTTCGCCGCAGCCCGGGGCGCGGCCCGCGTTTAGGCTCCCTTTCGGCGGTTTTCAGGTCGCCCAACGCCACTTAGGGTCCGGGATAAGCGCGAATCATCCTTTGAAGCAGGACGAGCCATAGGAAGGAGTAAGAAAGGGCGCGCAATAGCCTCCGCTTGAGCGGAAAAATTTATTGCTGGGGAAGGGAAAAGATACAACATAATTAACAGTGGTAGCCCTCGGCCAAGCCTGCACAAGCCGAAGGATGTGCGGGGGTTATGCCTCGGGAGGAGACTAGAAAACCGAGTTTGCCCGCCGGCACACTGAACACACTTTTCGGGGTTCAGTTTCATGCGCGTGGACCTAAGACTGTCGAAAGTCTCAGCCATCCTGCAACAACGTGTCCTGGTGGCGTGTCTTTACCACCAGGTCATCGACATACGCCTCTACATTGCGCCTATTGCGCCCTATTTGATTACTCAAAGTAATGCGAGTCATGCGCTGAAAAGTAGGACCTGCGTTCTTGAGACCAAAAGGCATAGTTGTATAATAAAGGTTTCTACAGGAGTATTGAAAGCAGTTTTTTCCTCATCTTCCCTAGCCATGCGGATCTGGTGATACCCGGAGTAGGCATCTAAGAACGACAAAAGGTCGCACCCCGCAGTGGAGTCGACTATCTGATCTATGCGCGGTAAAGGGAAGGGATCCTTAGGGCATGCCTTGTTGAGGTCCGTGCAGTCGATGCACATCCGGAGCTTGCCGTTGGCCTTCGGGACGACCACTGGATTTGCCAACCACTCTGGGTGGATGACTTCTCGGATGAAGCCGGCCTCCAGGAGCCACGTCACCTCCTCTCGGATGAAGGCTTGCCGCTCCGGGGCTTGGCGCCGTACTTTCTGCCGGATGGGTCGCGCATCCGGCCGCACGGCGAGGCGGTGCTCGATCACCTCCCTAGGGACCCCGGGCATATCCGACGGCTTCCACGCAAAGACGTCGGAGTTCGCCCGCAGGAAGGAGACGAGCGCGCTTTCCTATTTGGCGTCCAAGGTACCGTTAATCTTGGCGGTCTTGGATGGATCATCGCCAAGGGGAATCTCCTTGACGGGCACCTCGTCGGCCGAGGCGAGGCGCTTCTTGGAGGCGCGGGACGTGGAGGCCTTCGGGACCTGCGGCTCCGTGGCTGCCGCCAGGTTGTCGGCACGCTACTCTGCGCAGGCGAGGGCGACCTTGACATCGCCAAAGACGGTGATGGGGCCGCTGGGGCCCGGCATCTTCATCTGGAGGTAGGCGTAGTGGGTGGCGGCCATGAACTTCACCAACGCGGGCCTGCCCAGGACCACGTTGTAGGGCAGATTGAGGTCCGCCACATCGAAGTCAATCCGCTCGGTACAGAAGTTGGTGGAGTCGCCGAAGGTCACCGGGAGCTAAACGTGACCCAGAGGCCACGTGTCCCGAGGTCACGCCGATGATCGGCAGTGACGGCTGGAGCTTCATCCCCGGGGCTTTGAGCGCGTCAAAAGCAGCCGGGGAGATGATGCTCAGGCTAGCCTCCCCGTCAACCAGGACACGCTTCATCTTGACGTTGTGGATGGTTGGGGAGACCACGAGGGCCAACTTCCCTCCCCGAGCGAGCATTGTTGGATGGTCGCTCTGGTCGAAGGTGAGCTTCACCTCCGACCAGCGCGCCTTCCGTGCCGCCTTGTGAGTTGGGACGGCGGCCAGAAGCTCACACCTCGTGACCTTGAAACCGCGGCGGGAGGTGTGAGCGCAAGCCTCCCTGTCGAGAGTGGCGACGGTTCCCTGAGGTATCTGGAATTCCAGATCCTCGCTATCATCGCCGTCATCGGCGGGGGCCTTCTTCTTGGCCTCCCCTCGCCAGTCATTGGCGGGGGTCGCGGGGGCTTTGCCCTCCCGTCGATTCTGCCGCTTCTCATCGGCTTTCCGAAACCGCTCGACCAAGTTCTTGACCGAGCGGCAGTCGGCGAGGCTGTGCTGATAAGTGTTGTGCACCGAGCACCACTTGTCTGCCGACCGACCCTCTCCGGAGGGAGCGGTGGAGCTCGGCTTATCGCCGGTGGCTTTTTCCTTGCGCGGGGCCCGTGAGGGCCCATCGGCCGCAAGGACGTGGCCCTCGTCGTCGGAGCGGGCTGGCTTCCTTTTGCCCCTCGTATCTCGCCGCTTAGAGCGGGTAACGGATTCGGGGGCAGCCGCAGCTGCCGCGCCGGTGCTAGGGGAGTTCCAGGCCCACGCCTCCTCCTTCCGAGCCACCTTGTCCGCCAGCTTGAAGAGCTCGGCGGTGGTCTTGGGCTCCTTGGAGGCGATCTTCTCTAGCATGCGATTGTGCCGCACGCCGTTCCGAAACGTATAAACGATCGCGTGAGCCGGAATGCACGGAATAGTGTTGCGGACCTGGCAGAAGCGCTGTATATACGAGCGGAGGGGCTCATCGTCCTTTCGCTGCAGAGCATGCAGGTCCGTCTCCTCTCCTGGGCGGGGGTACGTGCCCTAGAAGTTCGTAATGAACTGCTGGCACAGGTCCTCCTAGGAGTGGATGGAGTCGGGGGGCTGGGTCATGAGCCAGTCGCGCGCCTGACCCTTAAGAGCCATGGGGAAATAATTCGCCATGACCCGGTCGTCCCCCCCCTCCCCGCCGCCACGATGATCGTGGTATAGATCTGGAGGAACTCGGAGGGATTGATGCTGCCATCATACTTCTCCGTGAGGTTGGGGCAAAACTTCGGGGGTCACCGGACATTCCGGAGACTCACAACGAAGGCCCTACAAGCAGTCCCTCCAGGGGTGAACGTGGGGGGCGGGCCGCCTCGCGAGGAGGAACGCGGCACTCCAGACGAGGAGGCGCCTTCTCCCATGCGGGCAGCGCGGCGCTCGTCCCGGTGTTGCTCGATGTTGATTCGAGCGTCCTGCTCCTCGTAGAGGTCATCGTGATGCCTCCGACTTCCCGAGGCCCCCGACGACGTTGGGGCCGTGGATCGCCTCAAGGCCGTGGCCGACCGACGGGCCCTCCTCCTTGCTGATGAGGAGAGGGTGGTGGGGGTACGTGACGTACCAGTGGCGGTGGAACGGCCACCCGCGGTCAGCTGTCGCTGGGCAGTGGTGACCAGGTTGGCGACGTCACCAACCTGAGGATGCTCCGCGTTCACCGGAGGATGCCGTAGAAGGGCTCCCGCCGCCTGAAGCGCGCCTCGGGGCGAGTCACCGTCGCCGTATGTCAGGCGGCGACGTGCTCCGACGCGCCGTGGCCTCCCCCCGCCGGGAGGCGGGGAGAGGGCCGAGCCACCCGACCGGGTGGGATCCTCCCTCCGCGGGGGGTCGCGACGGGGCGGAGTTCGCCAGTTGCGGCGACGGTGACGGGGGCCGCGACTCCCGCTAGCATCCTCACTCCCGGAGGGAATGGGGGTGTGCACCACCACCTCTTCCTCCAAGACCTCGACCATGATCGTCGAAGGTAGAGGAGAACTTGGGGCGGAAGGAAACGACTTCCCTTTGAAGCGCGCGAATTCCTTCTACCTGGCGCGCCAGCTGTCGAGGAGTGATCCTCTCTAGCGGGAGATCGTGAGATCCCCCTTTAGTGAGTTCGGCCGGGGGAAAAGGCTCGCGTGGGGAGATCGTGAATCCGCCCTCAATGCTACTAAAACGCGTGTGGGCACTAAGATTATATAGGTTCGGGCCGCTATGGAGCGTAATACCCTACTCCTGTGTGTGAGATTATGGAGTGTTACAAGGGTTCCTAAACTCCGGAGAGCGCTCCCACTTCTCTTCTCCTAGAGTTCAGGCTTACTGAGAGTCGTCCCTTTTCTCGGTGGGCAAGGTCATCCTTGTATAGTTTAAGGGGATACCGCATGCACCGCCTCTGCCTACTCTTCTACGGGAGGGGGACCCACTACCTTGACCGGACTGCGACCCGTACCTTCGCCCGGAAGCTAAGCAGCAGTCCGTCCTTGAGCGGGACCCAACGTCCCCCCCCAGCCTGACACGGGGGACAGCCCTGTCATTCCCTCATAAATGAGTGAAGACTTGTGGCGGTCCTCCTCTCACGGAGGGAACTCCGAATGACTTTTCGATGGGACGGGACATACCTACCTCCACTCCGCCGGATACAGAGGCGACGTGGGGGCACGGCCGCCCATTCAGTCGAACGTGACCGGCGACAGGCCGATCACAGACTGGTCAGACCCGATTGACGTGGGTCAGTGGTGCGGCACCGCACGTCCGTCCTTACCACATTAAACGCAGTGAGGGACAGTTGGGGCGCCGCGCATTGATGGCTGTTCAGCCTGGGTTTCCTCCCCTCTCGCTCCCCCGCCACATGGCAGCCGGGGGAGGGCCTCGGGGCAAGGCAACGCGAGAGCCCGAGGGGCATGACGTGGCGCCCCGAGGCGCCCCGGCCGCTTCTGCGACTCGCGAGGTGCGGGGTAGGGCCAGACTGTAGAGCCACGTGGCTGGATGGGAAGGTAACTTCCCCTCACTTTGCATACCCCCGGCCCATATCTCCGACAGCTTCTAAAATCTTTCCATTGCTAGTTTAATAACAAATAGTTCTTCAGCCATGTACATTTTCTTTTCAGAAATTGTTTTAAGATAAATTACTTAATAAAAAAAAGAGAAATAGAGTTGATTGTATGTCTCTTTATTTGCATTGGTGCAGCATGTATTAGATTCTAGTGCTCCTAATATCGAGGAACATCGTTCTACTGTTCTGCAAGTATTGCAACAGATTGGTGTTTCACAGGATAAAATCAACAGTATGATCGAAGTTTGGAATAAGGTTAGTAGTGAAATTTAATTTGGCTGTGACTGTCACACTTGCATGGTGAATTGTTGGTAGCATGGGTTTTCATGTAACTTGACTTTTTTATGGTGTTTCTTCAGATTGATATTGTGGACAACAATGATAATGATGTAACTGATGATATTGAAGATGAGATTTTCCTGACCGAAGGTGAGGAGGATAAGGAGGAAGAATTATTTTCTGAAAACGATGTGCCTGCAGAAGAATCATCATTTGAGTCCTTGGATGATGGAACAGACTCCGAATATTTATCAGAGGAAAATTTGGAAGGCAACAATGGTGAAATATCATCCTCACTTGAGCCTAGTGAGATGAGAGCAATGAACTCAGTATCATCATCATCAAAAGATTGTTTTGGAGAGCTTTGTGGTCCAGAAACTATTAGTACAGATAGCTGCAGTTCAACACAACCAATGTCCACTTGTCATGTGAAAACTTCTGCAGTGACAGGGACAGGATTGCAAGAGTTACTGGAGCTAATAGATAAGAAACTAACCGAGCGGCAAACTATTGTGGAGAGAAGCTATGGGCCTTTTGATAGAAAATGGAGACCATCTTCTTCTGTGGTTGGTGAAAAGGCCGCAGAACAGTAGGTATGTTATTGCCTTTTTTCTAAATATGTCCACCCATTTCTGGCTTTATATGCAATGAATATGCAACTTTGCATGATGTCTTCTTTATAGTTCAGGTTAAACAGATTAAGAAATGTTTAGATGTTAGTTCTACATAATCTTTGGCCTTCTACAATCCACCAGTAAATAAGGTTTGTGGTTTTGAGTCTTGACTATGGGGGGGAAGCCTTCAGGCATAGCATAACCAGGTTTTATTTAACTTGTGGATTAGTATGAGGCAGAGATATGAGGGGAAAAAAACTGTGGTGTACTAAAAAAATATCGATTTTCTTAATTCTGTTATGAACTACTACGTGGACCAGTGAAGATTAAAGTCACATGCATTGACCCAGAGTCCTTGCTAAAGTTTACATATGTTCTGCATATAGCTATAGAGCCCTTTGCCACAGTAAAAACAGTTACCTCCTGAAACTAAAGCTGTGTATAGTACAACCCTAACGATGGTTTACATTAAATGACATTTAGTTTTGCCTCCCTCAGCACAGTTAATTTTTTTAGTTTTCAATGTATTTTGTCATATTTCTTTTATGTTCTACTGCTATATGAAATTCGCATACTAATATTTTCAGCATTTGATTCATGTGGCAAAGAGCCAAGGAGTGGTTCGAGGCACATCGGCTGCTTGTATCTTCTCGCTCCATGTGCCTGACATTTCAGGCCCGAAAATTGCCACCTGAGTCGTCCCATCAAGGCAATGCCCGATGACTTGGTTGGCAAATTCGAGAAAAAAGTTTTTGCAGAAAGTTGGCGCAGTTTGGAATGCTGGAATTTTTGTTTATGCCTACAGGAATTGAAGTGATCCTCGTGAAAATCGTTCTACTAGTACGTCCCGAAGAGGACTTTCTCCTTACATTAGTACATTACAGGTGTTTATACTCAGTCAGTTTGCTGGAGAGTTTAGTTGGATGATGCGGAAGTAATAAAGCTGTCGTGTATGTATGATATTCAAAGCAATCATCGGTAGCTTGAAAATTCTCAGGATAGAAGTTTAACCCAATGCATTACTCGACAGCCTTTAATTCGGCATGACTAATTCTTGTGCTTGTATTTGGCCTATTCGCATCGTGAAGGAGATTGTGCTTTTAAAGAGATTCAGTAATCAGTCTGCTCCACCAGGTAAAACTTTGCTGTTGGAAGCCTGTTTTCACGCTGTAGTCCAGACTTTTGCATCCATGTGATCTCTTGCATAATTTTTTCTTCCGTTGAAAACCTCAAAATCAACTCAAATTAAGCTTCAAAAGTTAAATCTTATTTGCAACTGATAAGCCAAAAAGCAGACAATGAGAGAACTAGAGTTGGTAGTGATTGCTAGCCTTCACTCATCCGACCTATTCATACTCGTGCAAAAACAGTATATATGAACAATGATAATGTGATTTATGATAACAAATCAGCTTTGTTTAATAATAGTGGGGGCAAAGAGCGAAAATGTTGCGCTAGTTAATGCGATTTTCATTATCCCTTTTTTTTAGAAATCCTACGACGAAACATAATGTTTTTACAGCAACTTAGTTACACCCACAGTTGGAAAGGAGATTTTCTAAGTAAATTTACAAGGGATGTTTACTTTGACGTCACACCGCCTTCTTTACACGAATTAACTTAAATCTCGTAAAAAAATATTTGGAAAATCCTTTATTACAAAGAAGACCTAAGTAGAGTTTTTTTTTGCAAGCATGCACTGCATACTACTTTCTCCGTTTTACAATGTAAGTCATTCTAACATTTACCATATTCATATTGATATTAATGAATGTATATATATATATATATATATATATATATATATATATATATATATATATATATATATATATATATATATATATATATATATATATATATATATATATAGTAAATTTGTTTGGTGCTCCATGGTGCCCGGGCACCATTGTTGAAATTGAGTATATACCTAATTCAAATGAGTATGAAACTTTTTCAATTACTTAGATATTAACATTAGCTACTTTACTAACTAGTTCAAAGCAAGTTTGAACTGAATTTGAACTTGTTTTTGTTAGATTTTGATTCTAGGTATATAGCATCCATACATATAATTAGTTAGGTATGTAATCATGGATTGTGAAATAAAGTTAAATCTGAGTTGTTTTGTTGATAGGTATAGGTATGAATCGAGTTATTATAACTAGGTATATACTCACAATTTGAAAATTTTGAAAAATTTGAGTGATTTTGTGTATTTGATATCATGGTGCCCGGGCACCATGGTGCCCCATATGAGTGTCATATATATATATATATATATATATATATATATATATATATATATATATAGATCCATTAACATTAATATGAATATGGGAAATGCCAGAATGACTTACATTGTTAAACGGAGGGAGTATTTCAGAGGAGGCTTAAGTTGACAAATTTAGGATTTGTTTGGTTCAATATATTATCAGTACATGATACTTCCTCCATTCAATAATATAAGTCACAACTACTTTTTAAAGTTGTTTCATAATATAAGGCGTGCATGCATGCATGTCATTAACTAGCACATATTTTCCACTCAAATATTATTATTTAAAGCTTCCACCATCAAGATCTCTAATTTTATTGGGTGTATGCATTCTATTTATTAGGGTAATTCAAACTATAAGTGATAATAATTATTTCTTATTCTTTGGGTTAAGGGTGGTTGTGCCTTATACTCCCTCCATCTACTTTTGATAGTCATATTTCATCTTGACACACAGACCAATGATAAGTGATTCTACTTATCATCCATTTAAACATGCTACTAGTCATTCCTCGTAAACAAGCGATTCATTAATATTTACATTTCTCGATGTCCATGCAACAAATCTTGTGTGGAAGAATGGAGAATCATGCATTAAATCTGAGAAAGTCATTAAGATGATAGGTTGTTGGATTGAAATATGCCTATCAAAAATAGATTTTTCAGATTTGAAAATATGACTATCAAAAGTAGATGGAGGGAGTATTTTGGAATGGAGGGAGTATTAGTAAATAGAATATGATCTTGTTGGATTGAGTAATATGCAATCATAACTCCCCAATGTACTTTTGAAGAACAGTGAGAGATTGATTAAAAAAAAGAACATTGAGAGAAGATTTGCCTCATTTTCCACGCGCATGCTTCCCGAACTACTAAACGGTTTTATAAAACAAATTATATAAAAAAGTTGCGTTAAAAAATTATACAAATCATCTTTTCTAGTTCAAAATAATTAATACTCAATTAACCATATGCTAAAGATTCACCTTACGTATTTTCACTCCACGTAGTCAGCACATACCACATTTGAACTCTTCTGGTCCTAATTCTACCTCAGTTTTTTAAATAGATGATGACTTTGATTGTTAACACATATTTAACATTTATTTTATTAAAAAATTTACATAATTATTATTTATTCTGCTGTAAGTTGTTTTGTCACTAAAAATTTTTTTGGGGCATATTTTAAGTATGATTTATATCTTATGCATTTACATAAAATTTTTTAAATAAGATAAATAGTCGAATGTGTGTAAAAAAAATAACGGCGTCGTATATAAAAAAAATAGAGAAGCACATATTTTGTGCATTGACTTAAACATTCTTAAATGCACCAACCCATGGACAAACACGTACTCCCTACCAAACACATGTATGTTCCTGCTTCCAAAATTAATGGCATCATTTGATTTTATTAAAAAAAACTTTATATACCACCTTCATCCCAAATTAGTGATCCTTTTGACTTTTTGCTTGCTACGTTTGACCATTTGTCTTATTTAATAAATTAGTGCAAATATAAAAAAAAGGATAAGTTATACTTAAAGTACTTTTGATAATAAAGCAAGTTACAAACAAAATAAATAATAATTTCATAATTTTTTGAATAAGACGAATGGTCAAACGTTACAGACAACAACTCAAATCGACAAGTATTTTGGGACGGATATAGTATAAAAGTTTATTGAAAAGATGAATAAATCCATTTTCAAATTTACAATGGTTTACTTTTTCAATCAAATCACACAAGATAGTGTGAGGTTTCATATTGATATAGGATAAAAAAGTTACAAGATCATAGCTATGGGAGATCATGACTATAATCAGGAAAAATAAAACAACAAGCCATATCACACGCCTACAACAAAGCGAACCCTCTAAGGAAACAAACAAAAGCGTCGTGTTTTATCTACACTCAACGCCATCCACGTCCTTTTGTTGTAGAGGGAGAGGGCGATAGAGAAATGGATCCATTCTCCCTCACATGAACCCACCAACATGGTCATTTTGTGGCGGTCAGAAGCGTCGCCGCAAGAGGACAAATCGTCTGCATAAGAGATTGGTAGAAAATGGAAATGGAAAAGCATCGCCGCTGTCAACCTGGAAGCAGACCAGGATGTCGCCCAAAAACATCCTTCCCTCGCATGCTGTCGTGCCCCAGTCATATGTGACGGTTGCCACCATCCGAACACCTTCGACGTGTGGCCATCGTACCAATGCTCCAATACCGGTCGACCATTGAGATGATCAATGGCCCACACGCGGAACTCTGGTAAGTCGTCGACGTGTCGGCCATCATCTCCCCACATCATACTTAATTAATGAAGTGTTTTTTGTGCCAATCATAACCATCTTTCATTTATTTTTTTCACATACTTTCTTTTCTCAATCAATAACGATCATCTTTAATTTAATTTTTACTCTCCTTTTATTTTTTTAATAACTTCAGAAGTGATTTGCGACAGAGGTGGTAACATTTAAACAAACAAGTACACCCAACATAAAAGCTTTCGTTGTACTTTGTAGAATAAGGCTGTGTTTAGTTAGTTGGCCAAATTTTTTTTTGACGTATACGGACACATATTTAAAGTATTAAACATAGAGTAATAACAAAACAAATTACAGATTCTGCCTGTAAACTGCGAGATGAATTTATTAAGTCTAATTAATCCGTCATTAGCAATTTTTTACTGTAGCACCACATTGTCTATATCATGACGCAATTAGGCTCAAAAGATTTGTCTCGCAATTTACATGCAAACTGGGCAATTAGTTTTTTTTCATCCACATTTAATGCTCCATGCATGTCTCCAAACATTTGATGTGACGTTTTTGGCTAAAATTTTTTGGAATTTAAACACAGCCTAAGTGAATAACTTCATTACTTCCCTGCTGGATGTAATGAGTGCACCTGGTTGTTCGGACTGCGATGCTACTAAGGCTAAGTTTGAGATGATAGGAAAAGAGGAGATTGAGAAGATACGCAAAACGCGGTGAGCTATTATCTTATGATTAGTTGAGTATTAACTATTTTAAATTTCAAAAATAGATTAATATGTTTTTAAAGCAACTTTTCTATATAATTTTTTTTGCAAAATAAATATCATTTAGTAGTTTGGGAAGCGTGCGCGCAGAAAACGAGGTGTTTTCTACTCAATCTCACAGCAATCTCTCCTATCAAACGAAGCCTTATACTAGCAACTTCTCCTTTACCATCACATTACCTTTCCTAACTGAAAATTTTGATTCCTTCTATTGTAAAAAAGAGTGGTTTCTGATCCAAAATTTACATAAATACTCCCTTTGTGCCAAAAAAAAAAAGGCCAATCCTACCTACATTCGTAGCTAGGAATTCGTTTTTTTTTTACAGAATAGTAGATATTACTACTTCAACTTTTAAGAGATATTTATATTAGAACTTTCAGAAATAGGGGATAAATTTATTAGGACTAGATAAAATTAAGAGTAATTGTATTAGAATTTGATAAAGTATAGGATATTGGGATAATTTATTTTTCTTTTATATTTGTCAGTGACATGGGACCGGGAGTATCATGACTTAGAGACTTGAGGCAGACACGATCGCCCACGTGGCCTAACCCCCTCGGGGGGGTCGGGCCCGAGGGTGATACGGCCGCCCTTCTCTTTGTCTCCCCGAGGGGTCGGACCGCTACCGCCTCGGCCCTGAGGGCCGAGGCGCCCCGACCCCTTGTGGGTTTTGCGCCGCGTATATGGGGTAGGTGAGCATAGCGGGGCTCACCTAACCACATTTATTGCGGTTTGGACGAGCGCGTCACGCCGCATGGAACGCAGTGCAACGCGCTCGTTTATCCGGTCTGTGACCGGTCACAGACC